CTCAACCAAAACTTAAGTAGCCCCTTGGTATCTGTGGGAAGTTGGTTCCAGGACCCAAAATACACCTAAATCCATGGATGTTCAAGTCCCCTAATATCAAATGGCTTAGATCAAGGCACACAGTTGGCCCTCTGTGTCCACAGACTCTCCACTGTAGGTCGAAAACAGTACAGGTGTTCACTGAAAGGAAAGATCCTCGTATAAGCAGACCCACGCAGTTCAAAGCTGTGTTGTTCAAGGATCAACTGTACTTTGCATTCAAGAAGACATTTAATAAAATACCTTACATTCTTATAAGCGTAATGAATAACTATGAACATGATGCTAACATACTTGTTCTACCAACCTTCAGCTGCTGCAGATATTTTATTTAAGAATAGGGGATTTTATTTTTACTGTGGTAAAATACACATAAGAGCTACCACTTTAATAATTTTTAAGTGTACAATTCAGAGAGACATCAGGTGCATTCAGCAAACATTTTAAAAGATTATAAAACTGGGATAATTATGGTGGCTCACAAACTAAATTAGGTATGGTGGGAATTTTCCTTTCTCTCCCTGTGTCCTCCTTATCCTCCCATGAACACTTTGAAGACTAGCTCTCATGGGAGAGACTTGTCCAGGAGCCATCTATGTTGTGTACCCTGAAGAGAGGCCCTCCTTGCATGGGACCCAAAGAGCACAGGAGGTGGCTTGAGCAAGAGATAGGCACAGCTGTCCTTGACCCATGTATCAAAGCTACTTTTCTGGGTGTACACAGGAATTTTTGTTAAAGCTGGTTACTTTGAAATCGGCTATGTTTGTCAAACAGGACTGACCTCTCTTCCTTACCGCCCTTCTTTTGAAAAAAAAAAAAAAAGAAAGAAAAGGTTAAATTAGAGATTTAGTAAAACAGAAACCCTGTGCAAGTCCAGGCCGAGTTATCAGAACAGAATTTGGTTGCCAAGAAGCCAGGGAGAGTTATGTAGAAAGAGCTTTAGAGGACAGCACCAAGCAACATATAAAGTATCATTATCTTGTCAAATGTTATTCATGTTGTATCTGTTCCATGAGACACTTCTGTGTTCTGTGACCTTGGACAAGATACAGCTTGAGAGCTGTTTTCAGGGCAAATAAAACAACACCTGTCAAACTCTAGCCCACGGGCGGGGGTATTGTAAGGACAAGATGAATATTCCTTCATGTGCTTATATTCTCCCTTCATACAGGAGACATTTGCTCGAGCTTTCTGGTCAGACCCTCACTTGCATTTGCTTCATAGAACCTGAAGATTCTTAGCCCTGGGCATGTGAGTTTACCTCTGCACTGTGTAGGTCTCAAATGCTAGTAGATGGGAGCTGCTCTTTGTACATCCCAGAGCATATAACATAGAGAAGGCCTTCGAGTGCTGGCAGGATAGAATCACATCTCCAAGGCTGAAAGGGCTCGTCTAGACCATCCCGCTCACAAACACACAGTCCTTTCAACTGTTTCTGTGGCAGGTGCTCCACTCTCTCTGCCAAATCCTTGCTCTGATGAGAAGGGCTCATCGCTTCACAAGGGTATGCCCCTTCCATCTTTTGGCAAAAGTAATTGCTAGTTACTTATTGAGAATTTTTTAGCTCCTTAGGAAGAAATGTTTTGTTAAAGAATGGTAAAATACTTTCATAAAACAGAATTTCAAAAGTATTTACTGATCCTCTGCTATGTGCTAGCAAATTTGAAGAGGAATGAGACAAGAATAATTTCTGTCCTCAGAGAGCTCACTTTTCAGTGGAGGACAGAGATACACAGATTATCATAAAATTGTGTTGGAAATACCTGGAAGAGAAACATACGGGCAAGTACAGAAAGAACTAGGGAAACACACTCAATTCAGCCTGGGGGGGAGGCATTCCACAAAGACTTCTAGAAAGTGAAGCCCAAGCTGAGACTTGAAGGAAGAGCCATATATTATAAAGTAGTTGGACTTATATAAATAGATGTTACTAATTTGGATCACTTTTGTACATTATTAAAAAGCACGTGTAAAGGGCATTTTCCTCTAAATTTTGTGTCAGCAGTTAGATCTAAAATTATAAAATTATTTAAAAAAATAATACTTGGGACTTTTCACTATAGACCATTAGCTTTCAAACTGTATTCTAGGTGTCCTGAAATTTGGGGGCAGGAGGATGGGCGCATTTGTAGGTGGCTTGTCTGGGGTAGTGGAAGCTGGGCAGGCAGGACTCCAGGCCCTCACCAGGAGTGCTTCACTGTTCCTCCTGTTACACTTAGGGATGTTGTGTGTATTTTTAAAAATATTTTATTTATTTATTTTTAGAGAGAGGGGAAGGGAGGGAGAAAGAGAGGGAGAGAAACATCAATGCATGGTTGCCTCTTGTGTGCCCCCAACTGGGGACCTGGCCAGCAACCCAGGCATATGCCCTGACTGGGAATTGAACTGGTGACTCTTTGGCTTGCAGGCCAGCATGCAATACACTGAGCCACACCAGCCAGGGCTGTTGAGTGTACTTTTTTTAAAAATTAGAAATGGGGGTTCTGATATTAAAATATATTTCAAACTACAAAAGCAGATAACTCCCCATGAAGAAAGTTTCATTACATACTTATCATCTAAGGCTAATTTACTCAGTTGGGTACTTTTAAGCAAATTACCAAAAATATTCCCACCAGTAGTTATCTTGGCTTGTTCTAACAACAACAACCTTAGCACCTCTCCCCCAACCTGCTGCCCAGGCAGCAACCTTGTAAAATAGAGGTAGATCTGAGAAAAATTCATCACTATTCTGAAGAAAACACCCTCACGAGTGTGGTTTATTAATGGTGGGACAGTGGCACCTTCACGTACAAAGACAGGTCCTGTTGAAAGCCAGCAAGGGAGGTAGAATGGGTCCCAAAGTAATGAATTCAGTAGATTAAAATCTAAAAGTTTGTTCTGTTGAGCAGCACTCAAAGGCCATTGCCCCTGAGACATTGATTTTTCCCTAGGAAAATCTAGTAAACTTTGGGTATGTCCACAAGGAGAAAAGACAATAAGAAGCAACTGTTAAGACTTTCTTACTGAAACCTGTCCCTGCCCACTGCTCCTGCTGGTGCCTCATTCACCTGTTACAGGAGCAAAAAACTAAATCTTCGTGTGGATACACACTCAAGTGAGCCTGCAGTGGCACCAACTTTTAGGGGCAAGTGTCAAGGAGATTTATTTTTCCACTGCTAAGTTGTTTGCACTCATAATATGAAAGAAGCAAAGGAATGTTACAGAAACCCATTTATAGGTTTTTCAACCTGCTCATAAAGCTAACAACTACACCAGTCAGCTGGTTGGTAGGGTCCAAGCAGAAGGAAGGAGCAGGGAGGAAAGATCTGAGCATGAAAGTGGACACAGTGAGAAAATCCCATAACCTGCTGTTATTTCCCCAGACTTAGTTTTCATCAAAACCTTTTTCCTTTATAGAAAATTCAGCCCTGGCTGGTATGGCTCAATGGACTGAACACTGGAATGTGAAGCAAAGGGAAGCTAGTTCGATTGCCAGTTGGGCCACATGACCGGGTTGCGGGCCAGAACCCCAGTAGGGTGCATGTGAGGGGCAACCACACATTGATGTGTCCCTCCCTCTCTATCTCTCTTCTTTCTTCTCTTTCTAAAAATAAATAAATAAAATCCTTAAAAAATAAAAATTAAAAAAAAAAGAAAATTCACTGATCCTTGACATATGAGCCTGGTTTACTTAGTCAGTCTTTGTAACATGGTTTATAGTATAGTAGGTTCTGGGTCAAATTATTAAGAAATTATTATTACTTTTGTTAGAAATCATAGTGCATGATGGTTATGTAAAAAAAAAAGTCCTCAGTGTGAGCGACAAACCTAGTGAAGTGACATGATGCCTTAGACTTTTTTAAAAGAGACTTTGGCAAAAATAACAATAAGTGAGGATATACAAGAAAAGACTAGTCAAGTGTTAAACTTCATGATGGGTACATGGGGGTTCACTGTACTGAATTTTCTACTTGTGTGCATGTTTTAAAATTTTCATAGTAAAATGTCAAATACTGATTTCAAAACTAGGTCTAAAAAGCCATGCCAGCACAATGCTCTTCTAGGCGGCTCCTGCACAAAGAGGAAGGTAGCCTACCGCTCCATTTCTTTGATTAAAAAATGTCACTGGGTGGAAGACCCACCATTCATTTAATAATAGTGTTTTAGAAGAAAATAAACACACTGCATTAGAATACACTCTGAGTGTAAACTACATTGAATTTCAGAATTGTTGAAGATCTGCAAAATGTGCCTCAAAATTATGATAATCTGCTAATTTTTGTTTGTCAATTTTTAATAGGAGTTGTTGTTGCCAAAAGGCCAAGTTTAAAAATAATGATGTGCTAGGTCTCCATTATTTATTTATTCATCATATTTTATTTTATCATTTATTTTAAAGCATTAATTTGGAATTTGTGTTAATTTAGCGGCTGGAGATTTGCCTTCCCTAAAACATAAGGAAGAAACTGCATGCACAGAAGGCTTAAGAATGTACATAAGTGTGGGCCTCCTACTGGCCTATAGATTACTAGCTTGTTTTAATATTGTATGTTAATGAAAGTAATAAAAGTAAAAGATTATAAATGTTCAACGCACATGTATCTGTGATCCTTGAAACTAGTTAAAATTACCATTACTTTCCTGAGAATTAGCACCCCTTCAGTAACATCTTGGGGAAGAGGAATCATATTAGGGACAAGAAGCCACTCCTATGCTGAGTTTGGTATTTTTCAGAGGGAAAAAGATCCAGAGCTAGCGAAGGCGAAACTAGTGCTCCTATTTTTATTGTGCAGCGCAGGGGCGTCTGTCTGGATGCCGCTGCAATGACCCAGCTCTCCCGCACGTTCTGGTTGCGGTAGGGTTAGACCGCAGGGCTATAACAAGTGCAACTGACGAGGAAGAACCACGACGTCTAGAGACACTAGGTTAGTGCAGACCCCAGGGCTGCGTGTACAGATGTGCACAGCTGTGTTACTTACTGTCTTCAGGCAGGTTGTTTTCCCGCTCTTCTCTCTCCATCTGCTGGCACCACCCTTCCATGCGGTCTCGTTCCGCCTGGAGAAGCTTCAGAAACCAGTGGCCATCCCGGTGGCACACTGACCTTTGAACAGCCTCCATGGGATCTTCAGTGATTGAGTCAATCCAGGGATCCGGGGGAGGCAGAATCGAAGGGTCAAAATCCGCATCGAAGTCATCGTCAGCTGCGCAGGCGTGGTAATGGTTTCCTGAGCCCTGAATGCTGACAGTGGAGGTGCTGGCATCCCGGGAGAACTGTCTGGCGGCTGGGCCCGGGCATGAATTGTCCTCTATAGACTCCAGAGAGTTTTCCAGATTATCATGGAAGTCCAGGTCAGCCTGCACTGCTGTCGTCACACTGTTGGATCGGGTGAACCTGCGGAAGCTTGGAGGAATAGAGAAAGGAGATTTAGTTCAAGGATATTTCTGAAAGCAATACCACTTTCTACTTTTCTTTGTGTGACAATAGGGAGTCTCATCTCAGTCTGCTGAGGTAGGCCCTTTATGCAAGCATATCAATTGTCATAGCTATTAATAAAGAGCTATGTCCAATATTTGTTCAATATTAAAGCATATTTAGAGAAATTTTTAAAGTGGAGCAGTGTATATAGCTATCAAAGCCAGTATAATGTCCAATGTCCAACTTCCTCCCCAAATGTGGACAGCTTGAATCCTGAAATTCAGATAGGTGAGGGGTAAGGGAGCAACTCAATTACATATTATGATGAATAATTTGCCTAATAGCGAGGGGAGGGGAACCAAACCAACCTGGGCCAAGACTATAGTGAATCCTGCAAAATCACATTTTCCTGTGGGCAGCTCTTACCAAGTAAAACTTCCTGAAGAGCAAACCAAAAAATTGGTGGGTTCCATTTAAAATTAAGACTCTTTTTTTCTAGTAAGGACTCACTTGTCTCTTAATTATATAGGTCATTGTTATTGTTTGGTACAAAGCTTTTGGGGCAAAAATCAGCTCACAGTTCAAGAGTTCCCCTGTACCATTGTCCCCTGTGCCTTCAATTTCCCTTCCTACAGTCCTCCTACCAAGGTGATAAAAGACAACTTTAAGAGATTCAGTCTGAGCATCTTATATGGACATGCCTGTCATCAGTGTTTCCCAGCCAAATGTCTCTGAACATCTCTGGTTGACTCCTACAATGATGGTGAAGACATATGGAAGATGTAAGCGATGAGAAAAGAACAGAGGAACAGTGAAATATTTCTCAGACAAAGGGATAGGAAAGGTGTGGGTGTGGAGTAATTTAAAATATAGAGAAAAAAAAAAGGCGTCCCTGGCTCTTGGAACGGGCAGGAAACAATCAATATAAGCCCAGTGAAGGCAGCATCGTGTGTCTGTTACTGCATTCTGTGTTTCTTTTCTTTTTTTACGTGTTGCTTTTAAGATCAGTGTCAGTTTACTTTTATTCATTTTTATCTATTTTTAGAGAGAGGGGAAGGAAGGGTAAAAGAAAGAGAAATATAGATGCGGGAAACATTGATTGGTTGCCTCTTGCACACCCCCAGCTAGGGACCTGGTCTGTAACCCAGGCATGTGCTCTGACTGGGAACTGAACTGGAGACCTTTCAGTCTGCAGGCCTGCACTTAATCCACTGAGCCACACTAGCCAGGGCACTTTTTTTTTTATGATAACTTCTCAATCTAATATTTTATTGTGAAAAATACATCCAATATAAAATTTACTATTTTAATCATTTTTAAGTGTACAGTTCAGTAGCATAAGTACATTATTCACATTGCTGTGCAACCCTTACCATCATCTAGTTCTAAAACTTTTTCAGCCTCCCTAATTGAAACTCTATACCCATTAAACAACTATAATCCATTAGATTCCCCCAGCCCCACCCAAGCTCTGGCAACCACCATTCTTTCTGTCTCTGTGAATATGACTACTTTAGGTCTCTCATATTGTTACAGGGTGCAGCCAAGATGGGGGACCCCAAATGAGCATTTGAAATGGGGTCCAGAACTCAAGGTGTCCAGGAGATTTTAAGATGTCTCCATTCCTTCCCCCACAGGTGTGAGTTGGGGGAAGGGGCACACAGAGCAAGAACATGCAGGGCAGCTTTGCAGCTAATCCATGGCATGGTCATTTAACATACCTATAGCCTTTGGCTGGTCACTTAGATATGCTAAATAGCTATGGCTATGCTCTAGGCCAGGGGGATGGAAAGGGACCTCCCCCCAAGATGTGACTGGGGGGGCAGGTCCCCCGAGTTACAGCACTTGCGTGGGAGCTTGGAGAAGATTGGCTCCATGACATGGGGTTACACCTGCCCAGACCCACAATGGCAACCAGAAAAGCTGGAAAAGACAGCAGACTGAGGGCAAGTGTGGCTGAGTGTAGGAGGAGTTGGAAATGGGGCTGCAGAGGAAGATTGGCACAGGGATTTAAACCCAGACACGGCAGCCATTGAGGAGAGAAGCATGCAGTTTTGGCTGAGTGGGGGCTCCCATGGCCCTGGGAGAGAGGACCACGTGCCTTTGCCAGAGTGGGGACCCCTGCAGCTTTAGAAGGGGGGACCATCACCTGATTTTAGCAGAGATCCCAGCGACACAGCTGAGGGTGCCAGGAACCCAGGGAGGTCTCCCAGTCAAGACGGAGTACTAACTGGGAATAACCAGAGGACTGCCTGAGCCATGGAATTCTATTTCCTTTCCTGAGATACGGTGCTCTGGACTGGGCAAAGGGGGGAGGAAGAACTGTGTCTGTTTGTGGGTGTTTTTAAGGGACTTTAGGATTTTTTTTTGATGAAGACATTAGCTTACTATTTTAAGTTTGTATAGCATTAAAGAAACATTTCCTTTCCTTTTCACGAATCTCTGGCATTGAGAGACGTCTTTCCTCTGGTGGCAGACATAACAGACCTGGGGGCTTCTTTCAGTAATAGTATATCATCCCAAGGCTCCCCCCTTGTTTGTTCTGTAACAATATAAGTGGAATCATAAAGTATATGTCCTTTTGTGACTGCCTTATTTCCTTTAGCATAATGTCTTCGAGGTTCATCCATGTTATAGCATGCGTCAGAATTCCCTTCCTTCTAAAGGGTGAATAATAGTCCCCCCTTGTCTGTGAGGATATGTTCTAAAATCCCCAGTGGATCCCTGAAACTGTGGATAGTATTGAAACCTGTATATACGATGTTTTTTTTCCCTACAATATACTGTAATTAAAGTTATGTGGATTTAGTCTCTCTCAAAATATCTTACTGTGCTATACTCACCTTTTCACTTAAAGAAAGGACTTTACAGTATCTTGTTGGCATATCTGAATTGCCAGCAGCACTCATCTTGTACTTCAGGGCCAATAAGTATGAAAAGGTTTACTCGAACATAAACACTGAGATGGTGGGACGGTCAGTCTGATAAATGAGTTCACTACTGACTAATAGTCACAGAGTATGCACAGTGTGAATACAATATAAAAGGGATGATTCACTGCCAGGAGAAATGGAGTGGCATGGAGCAAGATTTTATCACGCTATTCAGATGGTTCATAATTTAAAACTTAAGAATTATAGGCTTATGAATAAAATGGTGATGCAGGTTAATGAGCTTCCCACAACCACAACAAAATTACAACTAAACTACCAAACAATCATTATTCAGAACTGCCTGAAATCTGGCTGAATGGAAGTCTTACAAATAGGGAATTAAAGAAGCCACATCGAGACTGGTAGGAAGAGCAGAGATGGAGAACAGGCTGGCCCTATATCCACGTGTGGTAGATAAAAATTGGGAGGGATATCTTGGCTACAAAGGTCCTTCCTGAGGAGCAAGCAGTTCCAACCCCACACCAGGTCCCCCACCCTGGGGTTCCAATGCCAGGAAGAGAAGTCCCCATAAAAAACAGCGTGGATTGAGGCTGAGAGAAATCGAAAGCAGTTCCACTTAAAGGGTCCATGCATGAACCTACTCAGACTCACTCCCTCTGAGCTCCAGCACTAGTGCAGCAGCTTGAAAGCACAAGAGCAGCAGCTTGAAAGCACCAGGGACATATGAGGAGGAACTGAATTGTCCAGCATTAGGGTGAGAGCTGGGGGAGCAGGTCTCTCCCAGATAGAGGTGCTGGCAGAGGTCATTGTTCCTTTCCTGAGCCATTCCCCTTACACAGTGGACGGGCAGATGTCATAGCTGAGCCTCCATCAAGCTGGCTCACAATTTGCCCTGTCCTGGTGATTCTCTGACACCCCACCCCACCCAACTTTTGGGCCCACCCAAGCTGTTTCCTGTGGCTTTTCCATATGAATAACCTGTCTTGGTTCAGACTTCAGACTTTCCTACAGTCTCTAAAATAAGCAGCATTTGGTCTCAGCATACTCTGTACTTCTTGGTAAGTGGACCCAGGCTCAGGACCAGTTGTAGCCAGCCTTGGTTCACAGTTGGAACTCACCTGGACATCTCCAAGCTCAGCACAAGTAGCAGCCATCTGAAGATCACCTTATAGCTCAAGCTGGGTGGCCCTGAGCAGAACACAGCTGGTGACTGACCTTGGTCTGCACCTGCCAGGAGGTTCCAGAGCCAGCACACCCAGTGGACAGCTTCAGACCATGTTGAAGCATCACCAGCCAACTACCACCACAAGCAAAACACTCAGCGGGAGCCAGAGCCTTGCTGAAGTAAATCCTGCCCTGGAGGGAGGGCCCCTGCACAGCTGATCCACCACTGTGGTCAGAGGTCTGTGGTCGTGGTCACAACCATTCTTTGCTACTGATTGGTCTGGGGCTAAATCCCTCCAACTGACATGCCAACAGCAATCAAGCTTCAACTACAGGAGAGGGATGTACATAGCCCACACACAGCTTGGGTGATCGAGGAGTCTGTGCTGCTGAACCTTATGGAACACCTACTACATTAGGCCACTTTACCAAGACACACAGTCAAAGGAGCTCTGATACATAGAAACAAACACAGGGAGGCTGCCAAAACAAGGAGAGAAAGAAACATGGTCCAAATTAAAGACCGGACCAAACCTCCAGAAAAAGAGCTAAGCAAACTGGAGATAAGCAATCTCTCAGATGCAGAGCTCAAAACACTGGTTATAAGGAGGCTCAAGGAACTTAGTGAGGACCTCAAGGAACTTAGCATAAAAAAGATCGAGTCAGAAATGAAGGATACACTAATTGATATAAAGAACAATTTACAGGGAAATCACAGTAGAGCGGATAAAGCCAAGTATCATATCAATGACTTGGGACATAAGGAAGCAAAAAACAACCAATCAGAACAACAAGAAGAAAAAAGAATTAAAAAAACCTGAGCATAGTGTAAGCAGCCTCTGGGACAATTTCAAGTATACCAACATTTGCATGATGGGAGTGCCAGAAGAAGACAGAGAGCAAGAAATTAAAAACCTATTTGGAAAA